GAGTGGTAATCACATTTGTTTTTGTGTACTTTAATATTTTTCCTTTGTTATGACTTACCCTTAACCTGTCTAGTTGACCTTTTAATTTTCATAGAACAAATGTCTTAACAAGTATATGTGTGATCAGATTGTTCGAAATGTATTGCGCAAATATATCACATAATTCTAATAAACTACGTCTTCTCATTGCATTATCGAAATTTATCAAAGGGACTAATTGTTTTATATTCCTGATATATTATAAATGATATTACCATTTAGCCATATAAAAATGATATATAATGTGATTTTGAATGAAAATATCAGGCGTCACAATAAAAACTATGAATAGATCATTATTATTATTATTCTATCATTTTATTTATAAATTTGCCAAATCATAAACTATATCTCTATGACCATAATTAGGTATAAAGAATAGAGACTAAAAATAAAAAAACATTGAATCTCGTCCATTTACTAGTAATTTAAAGTAATTCAATTATTCAGTTGATAAGATCAGAAATAGATTTATATTATATTCCTATTATTTACATAATAAATATTTGTTTTCCCAATTAATAAACTATTCTATGTACTTTTAAATGTTGTATTCTTTTTTTTATTCCCAAATAATTCATTGCCAAACCAATTTATTCATCATTTTAAAGCATTTTGTCCCTTTGATAAATTTCATTAATGTAATAAGAAGATGAAGATGATCAGAACTATCAAAATTATCAGTGTCGAGTCTCCTAGACTGGTGGCCACATTGCAACATGATCGATAGTATTCGATTTGTACTAATAAGGACTAGACAAGCATGACATTGATCACCACCCAGTGATCAATCAATTGCGAACCTTAAACCTACCTTGGTAATATTGACTTATTAACCAGAGTGATTAGGTCTCAAATTATGTTCACATTATTATTATTATTATTATTATTATTATTATTATTATTATTATTATTATTATTACTCTGATTATTATCATCCTTGTCTTCTCTTACCCCTTTTCCAGTCTAGTTAACCTTTTAATTTTATATACATGAATGTTCTTAACAAGTATATTATGTGATCAGATTGTTCGCAATGTATAGCGTTGATATATCACATAGTTCTGATAATCTTCGTCTTCTTATTACATTTTCGAAATTTAGCAAAGGGATTAATTGGTTTACCCTTATTTTACATTTTTTTTCAAGTTAATAAATCATGTACATTATTTGCAAACCTACGAATATATATAAGATTAAATATACCTCAGAGAATCTTCAGCCTCACAGTTATGTTGTAGTGGATTATCTTACAGATAATTCCTGATAACCGTTATATAATAAGTTTTTATTCGGTGTATAAATTTCTGAAAGCAATGTAACACGTCGATTGCAGTTTATTATTGAACAGCGCAAGTCATTGAGCCACAAGAACACAAAGCGAATTCGAGCAGAAATGCTAATATGGACGAGTGAACAAACAAATACAGGCGAATTAAGGGGCGTTTTGAGCAACTGTTATTTAAGCTAGTAAGAGGAATTGTATGTAGGCTCTAACACGCGATCAAGCAAACAGATATAAAAACAATAATACAAAGGTATACAAATTGTTATTGTTCGAATGATACTATCTGTCAATAAGTTAATTGAAGGGCTTGACAAAATTAAATGTTAACAGACATAAGTGTTGATATGGTACTATAATGTAATAAACATACAAATGAAACATTTCTAATTGCTTAACGGAAAGTAATGATAGAGGTAGTCTTGACGACTAAATATACAAAAATGCATTTTGTAAATACGTCCAATGTTGCCCATTGATCATCTTAGTAGGTTCACTAACATCGACACCACTAGGTGCTGGCTCATTGGTCTACATCCTAAGCTCTTGCCACGAAACCTGAAGGTCGTGGGTTCGAATATTGAAAGGACCGTTTGGGCCTACTTTCAATGTGTCCCATACTAGGATGAAACAACCGTTATGTGTTAAATATTATTAAACAATTTTATTTCTATCATTGTTGTTCTATTAAAATTATACGTGACTGTTCCTTAAAGTAATTCAATCTATATTTCTGGAAGTGAATGTAAAAACATGAGTGAATCAATAATCATGTGAATTCTTACGAAGTTCTGTTCTATTTTTATTGTATAATTTGGCATTAACGAATTGATATTTACCATGAATATGAGTAAACAAATACCATTAGATAACTTTCTGAAATATATTAGTTTCTAATACTAACTAGTCTGTTTTAATAGAATCGAGGAGAATTTGGAATGATCTCAAATTGATCAAAGTGATACATAACGAATATTTGTTATATAAATACTTGTATGAAATCACTTAAACCATAGTTGATCATTTGAAATTTGAAATTGAATACAATAAACAAATTCTATTTCATTGTTCAATAAAGTTTATATTTTAAAGAATATGAGGAAACATTCATTGCCCATTTACGAAACTGAAATAAAAACCCATGAAATCTTTTAAGTTTTATATTTATCATTCGTTACGTCATTCATTTAAAAGAGGTTTATATTGATTCATGTTGTCCTAAACAAGAACTACTATTTTGCATTAATCACCATGAAATGGTAAAAACAATTCGAAGGGAATCACTTCAGTATAAAGGTTGTGGAGATTATCATGTTTTTGATTGAGATCATAAACCGATTGATGTTAGACTACTACTGAGAACGTGGAAACACTGGATGGCCGTTTTGTCCTGTCGTGGGACTCCTCACCATGTGCTCACTAGTGGAGTTAATTCGTGCCGGGTAGAGACAGGTATCTACATCAGTACAACTGGAGATGGTTGCGCAATTTCGTGGATTTGTTGAGGTTCGACATTAACACCATTGGATGCCGGCCGGCTCAGTGGTCTAGTAGATTAAGTGTTCGCTCATGATGCTCAGGGCCCTGGGTTCGAATCCCGCGAGCGGGATCGCGGGTACGCACTGCTGAAAAGTCCCACAATAGGACAAAATGGCCGTCTAGTGCTTCCAGGTTTTCACTGGGAGTCTAACATCAATCAGTTTATGATCCCAATCGAAAATCACTTCAATCAATTGTTGAAAATTGGTCATGTCAATTAAAGCTTAACTCCTTACTTACAATTCATGTCTAATAAGTGAAAAGTAATTAATATCTGTGACACTTGGTAAATTCCTATAGACGGTACGTAGAATAAACTATTCTCTAACTTAATTTTTTTTAATAGAAATGCTAAACATCAGATTTTAATGTCGATGTTAACAACTTGCATTACGAGTAATTTTCATCATAATATACATAATAATAATTATTCAAATCAGATCTTATTCTTCTTTACCTACAACAAACATTCAACCACGGGGTTGAAACGGAGAAGTTATCGAACACATTAATTTTAATAACAAGACCTGATATCTGTGGTACCTGTCGCATTTCTAGATTTACACTATCGGTGTTTGAAGATTTCAAAATAATCATTTTATCTGTTCAAGTTTTCGCTTAGTCTTGTTTATTCTAGTGTGATCTGCTCTTTCGAAATCAGTATTTTTCACCAAGTATGTAAATAACAGTTAATAGACTATGGTCTGTTGTAGTTATGACGTAATAATAAATAGTTTATCCAATCTATAATTGATTGATTTAACCAAAATGATTAAAATTATAATTATAATTAAGCAATTTGATCGAGTTATATTCCAATTATTTCGAGATGGATACTCAGTTACAAAAAAACCAGTTTGATTTTGCTATAACAACAGAAAATGTATTTATTTATTTGAGCACATAAATATTGGTACAAAGGGACACCGAATAAATATGCGCCATACAAGTCACTTGATTTTTGTGTGGGTTGTGATACTGCCCGGCTGCCCAAACCGAAGCGGGTGGTTTTCTTAGGGGGCCACACCTGGAGCCTTCGACCTAAAGTAATGGGACACAAGGTAGTGGAGCAACGTAAGGAGATGCGATCCCATCGTAGCCGGTGACCAATAACTGGTTCATACGCCTTTTGTTCCCTTTGGATTTTGAAACCCATATACACTATTGGTTTTCCAACTCCCTTGGGTGGATCCTCTGTATTCACCAACCCGGTTAAATCGCCGGAAATTCGCTTTTCATCCTCTCAATTTCGTGAACAACACCCCAGCCACGAGAAGACGGAGGTTGAATCTTTTTACCCACATTATGTATTCAAATGTTTATGAACTTTTACTGCATAGCTATTCAAATAATTTAGATCTAAATGATAGTAATATATATAGTAATTTTCAACCAATCATACCTAATACTAATTGCTTTTTTCAGATTCTGCTTTAAAATTTAAGGTTGTGGTATATCAAAAACTTCTTTTTATAGTTACTGATGAGGCTTACTGGTGTTAGTCATCATTTACATTAATCAGAGAGATTTCACACATACCATAATTTTAGTAAATAATTTTATACATCTGATCTATTGGATTAAGAAAAGCAGGATACAGTTCAAAAACCAATCACTCACTTTAAACTGCTTCCTTTGATTTATCTAGGAAGTGTGAAAATATGACGATTTACTAAATCTTACGTCGTCCTCGCCCTACTACGTACGACCATAAACGAAGAATCATTACAATTCCTACGAAGCGAAGCAAGAACACAAAAACTGATACAACTGAAGAGTTATTTACCCCTAAAACACGATGACCCTTGTTCAAAGTACACATCCAATCATATCACCAAATGAAATAAATGCATTGTTGGATTACAGATCCTTTCATTAGCTTCATAGTTTACGACAAGTTATTCTTGTTATCAGAACATTTTTGAATAACTCTGAATGATTTCTATATAGATGTAGCTAACCAAGACAAGAAGGAAATACTACAATATAAACAATGAAATACTGTTTCATCACATCGATAACCACTGGTTTCATTTGAAATTTAATAGGATCCTGAACTAATCTTTTCATACTATCTTTTTTATATATGTATGTATACACTGAATGAATTGATTATTTGATTTATTTTATAATTCAGGGTGATGGATGCAAAGATTGCTGTCACCTATGTTTCTGTAATGGTTGTGTAGCATGTCAAATGCATTATGAAGCACAACAAATTGGAATTATAGAAAAGAAAACCTGTTCAGATGCATGTAATCAATGTTGTGTATGTTATAGATAAAAAGAATGGGATAAAGAACAATTTGTAAACTTCCAACTACTTTCACTATTAAATCATGTATAATTAAGTATATTCAAATGAATTTTAATTGTGTACTAAATAAATACTCTACCATATTTTACAAATATTAGTTGTTAAAGGTGAATTTCATAACTATAATGTCTCCCACGTTGTACGAGTATTCCATGTACCCAAATAAATGGTTGCTCTGGTTATCAGAAGGGGAATTGGTTTCGTAACTTCCAAAGGAACTTGGCTTTCATCATGAGGCGTCATAACTTTTCTAAATGAAATCCTTCTGACTCCCAGGGCAGAGTTTAAAAGGTTTGAATAATTTTTCCTGGTTAGCGTTTTTTTAGCGAGTTAGTTTTCTTCGGGATGGGATCGCTAACTCCATGCCCAGCCCTCCTCCTTTACCCGGGCTTGGGACCGGTAGTAGCCTCCGGAGGGACTCCAGGGAGTTATAGCTATGGTGTATTATTTGTTAATAAGTATACATACATTTATATTTGTTTTATAAAGTTTATAGTAAACATAAATTGTGCAAAAAGCTTTCTTATTATTCATTACAAAAAATATCTGGACGAGATAATAAAAAAATAAATAAACAATTTACAAGATACTTAAATTCACTTGGTATTATTTACTTGGGTCTTCCCATTGATGTTTAGGACTGTAATTGATCAGTCTCTTATTGGCATATGTGCATACTGTGCTTATTACCTCAATATTGCCTTAATTCACAAACATTATAAGCAAAGATAATAAGTTATTTATTTCTATCTACTGAACATTAAAAGTGCCCAACTGATATATTGTCTTATCGAATAATTAGTTATTTGTAATAAATTTGTTTGAGTTGTTCTAGTCTAACATTGGTCAGTTCATGATTTCCGTGAAACTCAACAATTTCCACAACCCTATATTTACAAGCGGATTTCAAACAGGGTTATATTAGTAAAATGTGAACATAAGATTCGAAACATTTAACCTAAATACGTTGCCTTTTTAATATATTCTCGACAACTGACTGATAGTTGCCTGAAATCTTTTTGAACTAACTTCATACTAATTAATCGGCCTAGAGTAGTTTGATTACCCTCGTATTATAATGCTTAAGAAAACAGTTGGCGTTCGTTTATTTGATAAAACACCGACCTTTGAACAGAATCTAAATCTCCTACAGTTTGACTAATAAAATAAACCAAAATTTGAAGTTATATTTTCAGTTCACTCACTATCAGTCGCTGAAAGAATTAGATCGAGAATGAATGAAATGTTTTAGAAATCGATAAATAATAGAAATGTGGTGTAATATATTTTTTCAAGAAATGAGTTTTATCATAAGCCGATATCAACTTAAGAAACATAGGAAACCATAGAGCATTAAGTAGCCATCTCATCCTAGATTAAAAAGAAAGCAATCCTTAAACAGCACAAAACTTCTTACAAGACCGCTTTAGTTTTGTTGTACTTGTAAGATTTATTTTGTAGAATTTCAAAAAAACACTAGGGTGAAATGCTATTACTTACGATTAAAGCATAACATAATAGTTAGTCCTCTTCCCGTAAATAGTAATTGAACATTCACAGATCAAACTTAACAATCTCAATATCCAATCAATAAGGAGAATAGATTTGAAGGATAAATTGCACAAACTCAGTTATAAAAAATATTCAATTTATATGACGAGATCAAAATATGATAATAGAGTAGGTTATTATTTCTGCATTGATTCGTTCGTTCAATGCGATGTTATTTCAGGTTAGTATTCTTGTATCGATTCAGTGTGAATTTCAGTCAGTACGACAGACGTGACAATTGTATCCTTTATATTAATCTAATGTGAACTTTATATGTGTGTCTTATAGTAGCTTTGTGCATTCCCCCCCCCCTATATATGATATTTATTAACTGATCATCAAGTGTGTAAATCACTATGTCGATTATTGTACTTAAGTTTAATGAGGACATGTTTTCAGTAGGCAATAAATTTTCACCTGGACCAGCCTTCTGTGTTCTTGCACTGTGTAATTCAAACAATTACACTGGTTCTCTATCATCGAGTATAAACAGTAGGACGGCAGATACAACACTCATTCACACATTAATACAAAGAAAATCTTCATTATGATTAGAAAAATAATTATACTCTCTATTTTAATTGTTCATTTTTACTAACATGTATAAATAATTTCAATGGTTAAGATCATGAGTCAGTTGAAGCTAGATCACCATGGAAAACCTGGACGCACTGGACGGCCGTTTCGTCCTATTGTGGGACTCCTCGGCAGTGCTCATCCATGACTTCGCCCCCTGCGAGATTAAAGATCTAAACTAACGATAATAATAACTGATAATAGTCATCTGCTCACTAGTGAATGACTTTAAGAGGCATTTTCTTGGAGTTCTAGTGAGAAGCAGTGACTAATGGAGTTCAACTAGGCCAGTTGTATAATAATAACTCACTGAAGACAATGGTGGATGTGTCGCTCAATTTCGTGGATTAGTTGAAGTTAGACATTAACACCGTTGGATGCCGGCTCAGTTTCGCGCGCGAAACCAGTAGGTCCTGGGTTCGAATCTCGCAGGGGGGCGAGGTCGTGGATGCGCACCGCTCAGGAGTTCCACAATAGGACTAAACGGCCGTCCAGTGCGTCCAGGTTTTCCATGATGGTCTAGATTCAACTGACTCATGATCTTAACCATTGAAATTACTATGATATCCACAAAACCCATCTGATGTATAAATAACTTAAATAAATAATTTAATTAATTACACTAGTATTCATACTTCTCAGAACTATTACATAACATAAATGCTGGATGAAATTGATGACATGAATGAAATAACACAATACTAATTATCATGTGAATTAATTATAACTAATAAATTTATAGAATATTGAACAGATGACAAATTGATGACTTTATCATGAGTAATCTGATCATTTTTGGTGTGCAAAAAAAGAAAATAATAACGTTGACAAACTCATATGACATGAATACAACTATGAATAAGTATTCGATCACCTTATAATGTGGATTATGACAGAAATAAATTCATTTACTTACATCATAAGATTATATCAGGTAATAGAGTAGTGGTTCATGTTTCACATAAAATGGTGTATTGTATATTGCATAATAAAACCAAGAGGTATCTTTTAAAAGAAAGCTGTGGTAAAATTATATAGAATAGTGTTGACTGTTAAATGTAAAGATAATATAAACTCCCCATAGAATAATCAAAAACGAAGAATATTTGAGCGAACAACTGTTTTCAATAACTTCATCATCGCTCAAGAGATATGCACTTAGCCAAATCGAATCTCTTCAAACGTATATTGTTGAATTAGAAAGGAATATTACACAGAGATTATATTCTGTTGAAGACCTTCCCCCACACTTAAAGGATTCGTTTATGACTTATGTCCTTGAAGCGCAAAGAACTAGGGAGAACAAAAAAAGAATCGACCTAATCAAAGGACTAGACAAACAGGTCTTTAAACCAGATTTTCCAGACGACTGTAAGCCGTGTGTTTTCAACTTTTCCTCTGTTAATCTTGATAGGACTCAACTAGAAGTGTTATCATTAGGTCCTAAGTTTTGTGATAATCGTAGACATGTGGATCATTTGAAGACTGATGTTCAGTTCGAGAATCTATTTACCCAGACACAAGACTTAAAACCCACGACAAAGGTCGAACATGAACGATTCAAAACCACGCTGGTTGATTGCTGTAACCAATTTAAAAGCAATAAGCACTACACAAATAGTATATTCACAGATAAACATCGTGAGGCCATCCGGAAACTCAAGTTGAATGAACACATTCTTATCACTAAACCTGATAAAGAATCGGGCACGGTAATTCTAAACAAGACAAACTACATAGATAAGATGAATTCACTACTGAGTGATCAAACTAAATTCCAAAAGCTTGGGTCATGTAAAGACCTCAATGAAAAGACTGAACTTCAACTAACTGCAGCATTAAAATTCCTAAATCAACACCAACACATCTCTGAGCATACCTATAATATGCTCAAGCCTTCTGGAACACATACCCCTTTACTATATGGTCTACCTAAGATCCACAAACCTGATATTCCTCTACGCCCGATACTGGATATGGCAAATTCACCATACCATTCAATAGCAGAATGGTTAGTTAAGTTATTAGAACCATTGCACCAAGAACTTGCTAAGCATAATGTTAAAGACGTCTTTGAATTTGTTGATACAATTAAAAATATGAATATAAATGGAAAAACCATGCTATCACTAGACATAACATCTTTGTTCACTAACATCCCTCTGACTGAAACTATAGATTACATATGTGAACAACTGATAGAAAAGAAAATAGAGATTCCTATCCCAATAAACAAAATGAAAGAACTTCTCTTGAAATGCACTATGAATATCTACTTTAAGTTTAACAATGAATTTTTCCGACAAGTAGATGGGGTAGCAGTGGGATCACCTCTAGGCCCGATCCTTGCTAATATTTTTTCTGACCAAACTATAAAATGGACCGCTTAAAGACATCCTAAATAAGCTTGATTATTATTGTCGATACATAGATGACACATTAATCATATGTGACGAAAATATCGACAAACAGGAGATGCTAGACGCTTTCAATAATATCCACCCAGCCATTAAATTCACCAGCGAGGAGGAGAAGGACAATAGCATAGCTTTTCTAGATGTCCGACTCTCTAGAAGGATAGATGGTTCCATAAAGCGAAATATGTTTAGAAAGTGTACATGGACGGATCAGTATACCCATTTCCAAAGCTTCACACCTCTGCAATATAAAATAAATTTGGTTAAGTGTCTCAACCACAGAATCAAGTTATTATGTTCTGAAGACAGTGTGAAGGAAGAAATAGTTATACTAAACAACACTACGTAATAACGGCTATCCTGATAATTTCGTCAAAAAATACCTCGTACAAAGTATTAAAAAGAGAAGACATTGCGACAGTCAGTAAAAAGACCTTATATCTGAAACTTGACTTTAAAGGCGATATAGCGGGTAATATTCTAACACGTTGACTCAAAAGATCTGTCGAGAGGACGTTCCATGCCGCCAAGTTACACATAACTTTCTCGACGAAACCAGTACTCACACAACTAATCAAGGATAAGTTACCGAAGATGGGCTCCTCCATGTGTGTATACCAATTCAACTGCTCCTGTGGAGCTAGTTACATAGGCCGTACTCAGAGGGCTTTATCCTTGCGTGTTCGTGAACATGTACCAGCATGGTTGGGAAAAGGAGTCACCAAATCGATTAACAGCACCA